CGTAAGTTTTACAACATATTTCGTGGATGTTCGACAAAAAACTGACACTTCCCTCATATCAACATTGTCTTATTCCATTTCTCATAAACAGCGGCTCGAAAACGTTGATCTATCTCTAAAATCGTTTTTTTGGACGTCGAAACAACCTTTCGCCATATATTCCCTTCTAGCCTCTTGCAATGTTCGCCCCGTGGCGATCCCAGAAATCTTTGCGCAAACACAAGGATCCGATTACTAGCAACTCGATCATTGGTCAACGTTTCCATCGTTATAAAGTCCTGTGAAAACAGCAGGGAGTCAGGAAGACTTCTCAAAAGCTATAAGCCAACTTGCGTTAGTTTCTTATATTTATGAGACCTTCACCTGTAACATTCAATTGAAGAAATCCCTCCGATTACGAGACTCTTAAAGATCAGCAAACACAGAAAATTTCCTCTATCGCTTAATCTACTCTATTAAGCTACTTTCTTTTTAACAAACCATTTTATTATCATTATATATTCACTATTTGGTCTAATATAATAGAATACAATTTATGTTATTAACAAAATGTTTATTTGATATATACATAAGCGAAATAATCCTAAAAAAATGTATCCTGCAAAAGTGGATTCCTATTCTTACAAAATAAAAAACATTTAATATTACTATATTCGTATTTCCTTCTAGAATAGTGCGATTTTAGGCAGAAGTAACAAACTTTTCTATCTGAATCTAATTTTTGTTCGATTGTTGTACGAGTGAGAGAATCATGAGAGGCCTAGCTAGAGACGGATTAAAAATCTAAACATGAGAGCCGAGTGTAGGGGGGACTGAATGCATTTTGTAGGACAATGAAATGAAAGATATACAAGTTTAACAATGTATACCGAATAATTATACCACTTATAATAAAATTCTTACGATATTCATAAAACAATACATAAAATTTCTAGAACTAGTATATCCATTTGAAATCACTGGTGAACTTTGCAATCTGATTGGCTCTCATTGCTGCAATTTATTCACGAATCGCACCATTTAATGCTCTAAATCGCATAGAGACAACTTCACTAAAACACAGTTCAACAAACGATCAAATTTCAAGACTTGTGTAAAAAAAACAATCAAATTTCGGGAAAATGAAGGACAAATTTTAGCAACTCTTTATAAATCAACCCGATACTGGATCAATAACATATTTTAAATAACATGTAGACTACAAAAACCTGCATTTGAACAGCTGAACATTGCGATTTCAAATTAGATGTAGTAAAGTGGTAATTGACAGGTATTGTTACAACCGTGGATCAGCAGACCGCGGAACCTCCAGAACCATCCAAACGTACGGAACCATTAAATTTAATGTAAAAAAATAATAATAATGAAATAAATAAAAATTTGAAATACATTAACACTGTACGAAATTTCGGTTTAAGGTATAAAGAAGATGAAGTTAACTGGGAAACATGTTTTTTTTTTCCATCTACTTTGACGTCCAACCACAAAAAGCCCAACTGCCCAAGCTCACACAGTGAGCCTCTATGAATATGCAAATGTATTTTCGTTGCGCAGTGGATGTAATGTAAGGATTTGTATGGAAATGAACAGTCCCGCTCTTAACCTTAAACAGATCTGAACTAGTTTTAAATAGGAAGAATTTCACCCCGAAATTCTACATGCGTCACAGGCGATGATGTTTCTTTACCCTCGTGTTCTTCTTTCTGGGGTTATGTTCAGTGAAATGGAATTAAAGGCCGCCGATTGCAGCTTATAGGTTTTCTAAGAGCCTTCGGATGAGGTGTTACTGGGATGTCGCGGTACTCAAACCATTTAGAGCTTTCAAATTATGGTTCAATTACTAATACTCGTGGTAGATGACTGCTGATTCTTCCTTATAACATTACATACCATTGTACAGTGAATGTCGCCACAATTAAAGTTAGACATGAAGACAATTAAAACATAAATCTCTTTTAAAGTAATCTTCTTTATACCAGAAAACAAACTTTCAAACAGTGTTAAAGTCTTTTTAGTTTTTGTTTTATTTCATTACTTTTCGTTTACAAAAATATATAGGGTTCCGCAGGCTCCGGAGTTTCTAGAGGTTCTGCGGTCTGCTGATCTTAAGTTTAGTAACACCCGTAATTGACCCTAATTGCACTCCAGTCAGTTAATTACCATTATTTACCCACAGTACACAACCAATTAGCACTACTTACTTTCAAATAAACAACAGTAGTAGTCATAACCATTATCATTCGGTTATTATGCCATTTTACCATATTTTGGCAACAAAAATGCAGTGTATATACGACGGTATTCACTATAGAGGGCGAAAATACTGGCAGAAAGTGCAGTAACAAAGTGGCTGCACTAAACTATCCAAACAGTGATCGTAGTCAACCTTTTTGATGCTTTATTTTTTAAGCGACGAGCTTTTTCAGTGAAAAAAAAGCTGTTTTTGTGTGTCTTAAGGACACCTGCATGGTTTCTGTTTTGTCGCTTTCATCCATCACACTCACCCTATGCGATCGATACGATTCTCAGCAAACACTGTAAGATCGATGCGTTTCGAAAACGAATAAATAAAGTAAAAAAAGAAAAATAAATACCTCTTTGACTAGTAAAAGTTTTTCATTACTCTCAATTTCCTCGCACGGGGCCAGATATTTACCACGCAACTTCTAATAAGGTGAATATACCATTGAAACGTTACAAAAATTCCTACTCATAATCCTGCTTGTGTTTTGAATTATATTATACACTATAATCAACGCTAATTTTTTTGTACAACTCATTGCTAATTTAAGTACGTACTATGTACAATCCACAAATCAGTAACACCATTTTTTTTCGCTCCAGATATTGCTTTCTTCAAAATATATGTTTTCACCTTCCATTTATTAGTAAGGAGAGGTTATTGTCCCCTTATTTTCTCATGTTAGTATTTACTGACAGTTTCAACTGGTGGTAGATATGTAAAGTGTTTGTTTATCACTTCCAACATACCTCTTCCATAATTAGTTTGCAACCTGTTCTCTGGCTTAAACATTTCCGCGTCGCTATGGAATATTTCCTTTTCTTTGCGAATTTTTGTTCCAGTGGTGTTACTTCCACTCGCTAATATTGACAAACAGTCCATTCTTGGCACAAAATACTGCTCGTGGCGTGTGGGACTAATTCTCAAATGGTCTCCACTTGCTTCGTTTGCTGAACTGCTTTGGCCATCTGTCGTTCGCCTTATTGCCTCTTGGCGGACCTTACTTTGAGGTGTATTGGAGGCGCTGCTGTCACTGTCACCTTCAGCGCAGACACGTACTTTGCAATGTGATATTCCCATTTTTTTCCTACTTATTTTTAGACTCTGGCGGAAGATAATGAAAATCCTTTAGACTGTGTAGAAATATGAAATGTTTTTTTTTTTCGTGCGGTACTTCAGTAAGAAAAGTTACATAACAAATCAGGAGGTAATTACGCCAGTAATTACTTTTTAAGATGGAATGCTTCAATAATGTGTACCATGATTATAAAATCTAAATATACACCTGTGTATTCATTTCTCGAGGAACTCGTTGATGTTCAAAAGAACACGAGGATTGAAATTGGTAGCCAATTGCATCTTTTAAGGCCTAAACATGACCTACAGCCAGCATCTTCCAGCGTTTTCGTATGACGTGCTCAGAAAATGCCTGCAAATGTAAAACGGAAAACTATTGTCGTCGATTATGTCGAGGGTTAAAATGGTGTTAATCATTATTCATTTTTTATTATAATATTTTCCTCTATGATTAGCGTCACGCAAGCTTGGGCAGAAAGGTTGTAATAAGAATAATTGGATTTTGTAAGATGGAAAATGTCTGAAGGACGATGGAATATTTCCTCTATGGCAGCGTTTTGCTTTATAAATATAACATCGCACAAGAATATCATATCTGAACAGATCGAAGCTGTTGCATAAAGAGCATGGACGTGCGTTGAAATTTTATTAAACTGATCGGAAATTCTTTTTCATGCTTGTAGAACTGGGTGGAAAAAAATTAGAAGGAAATATCCTGACTGATTTTTAAATAGGTTGTTTGTGCCATACTGCAGTAACTCAAGCAAGACCGGACCAGAACAGTTTAACATTAGCCTGAGTGAGTACATTCATCGAAATAATTAAAGAAAGAGCGAGGAAAATCTCTCTTGTGATTGAAGAGGAATCTTTGCATGAAGTTTTTTTAAATCAGTATTATTTTGTCTCTTAATGCCCGTACACTGTTAAGATTTTCGCTGTCGGGGCACATATAAATTGTCCTTACAGCGAAACGATTAGGCAATATAGTTTATGTTCACGGGCATAAATATGTTTAGAGCCCAACACAGAATCAATGCTCAAGACTATGAACTCTATTATCATAATTATCACTGTGGGGGCATCGAGAAAATCAGCTAAATACTTAAAATTATTAACAAATCAGTCTGAACAATCAGGCAAGTGGTTAAAATACATTTTTTGCCGACCAAAATTCGTATTTTATCCCACAAAATGGGCCCCAATGCCCGAAAAAGTAAAAAAATATTTACTTAGTTGTGCCTTTCTATAGCTGCCTGAAAAAAGGAAATCGATAAATCTGCTTAACGATTTTAAAACAATTACGAAGGTGTTACTATTTCTGTAGGATTATGCTATAATTAGCGTAAGACCAGGTAAAACCAGGTAAGATCAGGTGATCAGAGTAAAGATTTGACCGGGTACACTGCCCGAAAGGAGAGAGAGGAAAATTAATTGTTGATTGAGCTTTGCTGCAATGTATAAATTTGTATCAGGGTATTACCAAATATATTTTTATGTATCACTATTCTTCATAGGGTACCGTTACCAATTCTTGTGCCAGACTGAGCGAGCAAGTTGTAATAAGCGTACAAGAGTAAGCGGAAAACAACCTTAAGATTTCTGAAATTTTTTTTCTGTGAAAATGTTTTCCTATGAGTTCTGAAGTTATCTCCAAGATGTTTAATTGAGCTTCAGTATAGAGATGCACTTAACAGAGTGCTCAAAGGTGCGGCCATTTTCATCATTATGGCGGGTAATAAAATACTTATTAATGTTGATGTTCTGTCGATTTGTTCTGCCTTTTTCTCCTTGGCTGTCCGAGTAGGAAGCTTTCAGGTGTTCCGTGACCCTCCGCATGCGAGCTCTGGCGACTAGACTTTCATTTCTGCCGACCTTTTTCAAGAGATTAGGTCGCCTATTATCGACATTGCAAATAGCTGAGCATGAAGTCCTAACTGAATGGTGTTGTTACAGCGGAATATAAGTTACAATGAAACTCTACCTACAAACAAACCATTCAATTTTTTGTGCTCGTCGGTAAAAAAAAAGGGAATCCCATGCTTCTTATCGATTGCGTAAGCTTCAATTGGGCATTATTTTAGGTTCGGTGCTGCTCTAAAAATAGTGAACCCTATTCGTATTTATAGCGCTTTTGGATTTTTTGTCGTCAAAAAACAAAACCAAAGTAAGCATGTATCAATGAGGGTATTTAAAGAGTACCTCACAAACTGCTTTAACCAGCAGAGTGACCAAGTCGCGACTGGTTTTAGTTTTGAAACTGGCTAGCGAAATAGATGCGCCCAGCAGAACATGTGTCGGCTCCATTTTGAGATTAGGCTAAAAAAAAAAAACAAAAAACAAAAAAAGAGAAAAAGCGAGGAGCCTCCGCTCCATTGTAAGTCTGGGTTCTAATCTCATAATCTCATATCCAGGCCTCTCACATCCAGGTATATTTGATATTCAAGATGGCGGCCAAAACACCTCTGCGAATATATCGATTATTTTTCTTAAAAGTTTGGATGTGGCTTCTTTCACACTGGTGAGTTTGTAGGTGTAAAGTTCGCTAATTATGCAGTGATACAAAACTTGACAAAAGTGAGATCTCAAAACAGACAAGATTTGTCTTTAAACTGGACGATGCCGGTTCAAAAAATTAAATTAATAAAATTTTGAGGCCGCTAATTAAAATTATCTTAGAAAAAAAAAAGAAAAACAAAAATTAAAAAAAGTTGGAAGAATATTTAAAACTTTCTAGAAAGTGATGATAAAAGAGAAATCCAGAATTTTGTAAACTGTTAATGTGATGTCTACTTTTTTTTCAGTTATTTTGTGGGACCCCAACAAGTTCCCCTTCCAGACACTTTCATAAATCCATCATTTCAAGTTGCTCATTATCTATGGTGAGTTGGAAATGGCTTAAATGTTTTAGCACCATTTTTTCATACATCCATGCTTTAATGTGGTATGCGTTGTGTTATTGAGGAAGTCTTTTATTATATCAATTCCAATCTTGTGTTTTGAATTCTCAATTATCATCAATTATCAACGTCAGCAACCCGGCCAACTCTAAGTGACATGGAAGAAAAAACACTTAATTACATTTGCAAAAAAATCAATCTTTTAAAGCCAATGGGAGCTTACTCTCAGTGTTTGCTCTGAAATATTTTCTAGAATATCAAGTTAATGTGCCTTACCAAATTAGTCTGCTTTACTCTGCCTCGAAAGGTATGAGACCAGGTTGGGTCATTAACTGGTGTTCCTGTGCAGAACACTTTACTTTCACAGTGCACCTCTCCACCCAGGAGTATAAATAGTTACATGCAAATTGTTATGCAACCCTGAATGGAATGCTAGGGGGTACTGTTGTAATTGACTGGCATCCCATTCCCACGGGAGTAGTTGTTCTCCTTGTCATGTCCTGCAAAGGAAACCAGCTGACCCCAGCTTAAGATTCAGTGCTATTTTGTCCAACATGGTTAAAAGTAAACTTATTTATTTTCAGGGTAATTAAGTATTATCAACTGAGTTGATAATGTAAATTGGCCACTGTAAAGAGTTAAAAAAAATAGAGACCCTTTATGGTGGCCAATTTATGTTATCATTACTCATTTAACAATACTAAATTACCCTCTCCCACCAATGCAGCACCACAGTTTCTTTAGAAACTTTCCCCATTATTTCTTTTCAGGCAAGGAAAAACAACTCAAGTAATTAAAGAACTTGACAAAGTACACAAGCCATCATACATTTTGGCAACACCACAACACACTTTGTATATATCAAGGTATAAACCTTATTGTGACTTACTGGTGAAGGGCTGCTGTTTCACTATAGGTGATCTTTGAAAATCAAGACGTCTTAACTATTTTTGCATTTTATATACATCCAGACGTAGACACATGAGATATAATACTTACCCAGTTATCATTTCTAGAATGGCTCCTTCTCATTCAGGGTAGCTGAAATTAAGGCTAAAAATTTTTCATTGGTGACTGACTCTTAGTTCACTGACAGAAAAAGTTAATGACATGTTAAGGTAGACAATTAATGTAATTACTTTATTCTTCTAATGTTGTCTTGTCATTTTTTTACCTTCATTGCCTGAATTCAACATCAGCTTCTTACTTGACCAGGTAAATAACTATTGATCTCTCCTCTTCATTATCACACCTCAGAAAATGTAATTTATTTTAGACTGTAGCTTTAGTATTTTTTTAACTGTGTCACCCAGCTTTTTCCTGTTGCAAATTTCCTGTTGCAAATTTAAAAACTTCCAATCAGCCTGTTTAACCTTTTGACCATTAAGTGTGATTAACATCTAGTTTCCCCTTACCCTACTAACCCTGAATCAAACATTGAGGTCATGAGAATAAAGGAAATGATCACCAACTAAAGAAGCTCTTTATTGTTGCACCAATTCCCCTTGAAATGTGTAAAGAGCAGTATCAAAAATAAGCATACTGATGTTAGGGTAGAAAGGGTTAAAAACAGGATGGCCTTATACTCTAAATTGAGAGGTACAGCTTCACTCCTGGCTGAATCATTGTATTTATTCACAGGCAGCTGACACTTGACCCCAAAGAGAAACTAATATCTAAATTCTCCAAACAATATCACCCCTGAATGAAACATGAAGGTCAGGAGAATGTAGGAAATGATCACCAACTTAAGAAGCTCTTGATTATTTAACATGTCCTCCCTAAGTAATGTATAGAGAACAGTATGGAGAAAATGCATACTGATGTTAGGGAGTGAAGGATTAACTCTCACAATGCCTCTCTCCACCCATGAGTATAAAATTAACGTATGTGTACCAGTAACCTGTTTGGGGACTTGACAAGTTGCAAGGCATTTAAGGTGGGATCGTAAGACTTGTATCCTGTGATGGTCTCCAGTCAAAGTGGAGGACAAGTCATTTCTTGCTAATAAGAGGACAGAAAACTACTGCTTACCAAAAATCTAAAATAAGGTAGCTTTAACATAGTTATGGTTGTCTTTTTTTTTTGGTATGTTAAATGACAGGTTTTGTATGTGGCAGACACTAGACAGATAGGAAGCCCTGCTGTCACTTTTACTCAAGGCCATGGGCTTGATGGTCCATGGGGAATGGTTGCTGGTAAGAAGCAGGTCAAAGTTTTTATTACAAGAATTATTGATGTAACAGTTTGAACAAACCTCAAGGAGCTGTTGAACTGTCCATAATTTTACTCTACATTTCAGATATGAAATGATATGACATTAGTCATACAGAGGTTTAGGTATGCACCTAAAAATTCACCCACTCACTCACACACACCATTCTGATCTGTTACACAACTAATTCATGCATCAATCATGGATTAAATGCATTATTTTAATCATTAGGGATGGTTTACAGAATGCTTCTTATAAACACATAGGTCAGGGCAAGCTGGTGTTTACAGTTGCTGATTGTTTTTTCACTTATTTCTCTTTTCAGATGATGAGTACTTGTATGTTGCAAGTTTCACAACAGATCAAATACACAAGTATGATTTAACTACCAGAAGGTAATTGACTATAAACAACATGAGCAATAAGAGAAGAAATGTGACCCAGCATGAAAACATCTACTGTAGGAATAAGGTTGATGCTTACATGTACCTCATTACAACAAACAAAAAGGAATCTGATAACTCCTCCTGTATGCACATCTTCTTTTTTCCCATAATTGTCCAAGTTATCATTGTATTACAATGTACATTATGTTTTCTTCACATGGTGTAGATATGGCTGAAATGTGGTGGGCCATAATACATGACTGAGCATGCTCAATTTTTGTATGTATTCTTTATGTTTTCTGTTTTCTCAGTGCATATCACATGGTGTAGATATGGAACATGCTGGGCCATAATACATGACTGAGCATGCTCAAGTTTTGTATGTATTTGCTATGGATGCTGTTTCTCAGCCAGGGCATGAGCTTTCCTATGTCACACCAACTGCTCTACCACCTACACTTTACCCACAAGCTCAATAACCTTTTCCCTTCACATGGTTTAATGTAAGACTTCAATTAGAAAAGACAAATTGAATACTCTGCTGACATGCCTTGAACTTTTGTGACTTTTGTAGGTTTGTAGGTGCCTTTGGTAATGAGAGTTACCTTGACTGTCCAGAGGGGATGGCCATAGGTCCCAACAACACTATTTATGTTGCAAGCTTTCTCAATGATAAAGTTGTTAAATTCTCTATACCTGATGGAAAATTCTTGGGTGTGGTAAGTCATTTTTTTTGTACGTTAAAATGAACAGGTTTAAAGTGCTTTTTCCTGTCAGTGGTAAATAAGAATTAAAAAGTTGGCTAAATTTTTTATTCTTTGTAGGTAGCTGATAAAAGTCATGGTCTTAAGGGGTAAGAATGACAATATCCATGTTCACAATGCTTAGAGTACTTTAAGTTCATTTACAGAACCAAGGCTTGTTTAATTTCCTTTTTTCTGTCACCGCTGACTGAAAAATCACAGCCCGGCTTAACTAGTTGTACAACTGTTAGGGTGAAAAAAAAGAGAGAAGCTCTTGACTGTGTATAGTTATCATTATCTCAGTTTTGATCAGAGTGGAAAACCATAAGAAGTTTGTTTTGGTAATGTGTGGCTAAATTTCATCCCAAGCTTCTCAACAGCATCCTTTCATGGATTGCCAAGTATATTTCCTTAATAAGTTATTTGTGTGTGGCTGGTTCCAGGATCATGCACACTTTTAAGACACTAACTCTTGTGTTAGCTGACAACAAGGTATTTGACAGCTATATTTGATTTCCAGGCCTGAAGATGTTGCATTCTTAAAGGATGGCACTCTCCTCATCTGCAGTCATTACACCGACAATGTGTTAAAACTCAATTCTTCCTCAGGTGACCTCAGTCTAGTGTTAATCAGCCTCTATTGATGTGATGTTTTTAGCAGTTGTAGAAGAATATTGATAGTTACATCCTACTGTACTGCAGGTGAACAGCTTGGTGTGTTTGCCACAGTGGAAAAACCAGTTGGTTTGACTGTTGGATCTGACGGGTAAGACCTCCCCATACCCCTACCACTCTTTTGTTTTTTCATCTCTCCTCATTTCCAGCACTCCTTTCATCTTTCTTCCATTCTCTCAAATAGTGTACTTTCTCATCCCATTTCTTCACATGCGCTCCTCCTTTCTAGTCTTTTTGGAATCAGATTTGGCCGGATGTGGTAATTCACCACTCCTCTAGGTTAGATGTTGAAGTTCCTTTATTGAATGGACGATTCTTTAGGGAAACGATGATTAACTCCATTATTTTCCGTTGTCTTTTGAAACTGCAGCAATGTCTACGTGACGAGCTATGTTTCAAACAGCATCCTTCGATTTGATGGACAAACAGGTACTAACTATCTTGTGTTGTAATCCTTGAGGCTCACAGATTTCCTCGAACTTCGCTCTCGGAAAACTGTTCTCATCTTGGAACAGAAAATGTCCGCGGACGGGTGCATATTTTCGCGCCAAATCGAAGCTATTGTCTATCTATAGTGAGCATCAATTTTTATGGTCTGGAGCAGCAGATTGTTTTTAAGACCGTGAATTATTCAATAAAATTATATATTTCGAGGGCAGGGCTATATGCATAGGTGGCGTAGCAGGAGAGCCGTATAGCTCCCCCAGATAAAAAATTTGGGTGCCTTACTTCCCCCCCCCCCCCTCCTCTCCACGTTTTGGTGCCGAAAATATCGCTAAAAATTGGCAAAACACTCAGTCTCGTGATCTTTTCACAAATCTTTTTATCAGCATCGTGCATGGCGAAGTAATATATTGTAAAACCTTTTTTGAACAGCTCCGACCTGTGTTCGAGAAGCTTATCAACTGCAGCATGATTTAATTTTATCTGTGGGAACGCGATCGAATGCTAAGCTGAAAGATTTTAAAACTCAACCTCCAACAGTCGTCTTCCAGCAGTCCCCTCGTGTTTACCGATTTATTAATCGAAAAATTCACTATCAGAGAAGAAGTAACAACTTCTTTTGAAAAACTAGCTGATGAGCCATCAATTTAAAGGAAAAACTTTAATGCTATTGGAAAAGCCGTTAAAATCGAAAACAGCTAGTCAAGTTCAAAGTCATTTCCTGTTTACCTGAACATCAACGCGCGGATGGAACAAATTTTATTGACGATTTATTAATGCGGCTGTCAGAGCAGAAGTAACAATTGCTTTTCAAAAACTAACTAACGAGCCATCCTAATTTAAATGAAAAATTATAATACTATTTGGAAAAGCGGTTAAAATCGAAAACTGTGCAGCTTGTCACGATCAAAGTCGATGATTATGTTACACGTAAATTCACGTGGAACGACCTTTGAATATCAACGCGCGTCCGATTGAACAACCTTGACTGTAAATCAAGAAACCAACACCAGCCAGTCGCCCGGCCGGGCGACCAAGAAAATATTTTCAGTCGCCCGAGGCCAAATGTTAGTCGCCTCAGGCGACCGGGCGCCGTTATAGCACAGCCTTGCCTTGAGTGTATACTTAATATGTGTTGGTCCCCGAGTTACAATGACCTTAAGAGAGGTTGTGGACTTCTGAAGTAATCCTCTGATCAGCAACGAGTTCAATTCATTTTTACGTGGACGACTGACCGCATTGTTTTTCCTCAACTGGATGCCTGTTATTTTGTTCTGTTTTTTTCTTTCGACCATTATCGTAATCATCATCCCTCTGTCACTTTGTTACAAATTGTTTTTGATTATATCATTATCACTTTTATTAGTTTGTTGGTGGTTATTTCATTGTTATTTCTTTTCATATCTTTTCCTCCACTTCTATTGTTACCGACGTTATAACCAAAGCTCTTGTTCTTCTATAACTGAACTATTCGTGACGTTAATTCACTTTAACTATTCAAGTTCGTCTCGTTCTGCTGGTTTGGTTTCTTTTCTTAAAAGTAATTTATCCTACCTCACGTTCCGCTTACAAAATAACCTTGGTAAAAAGTATGGCACACACCCCGTTTTACTTTCATACTTCACTCACCGTTGCCCTTCCGTTGAATCGAATTGTTTCGTTTTGAACAGTTTTGCAGATCTTCGTACACTGTATGCAGCCAGTTATGACAGCGATAGAGTGGTGTTATATAACAGTACTACGGGACTTACTTATACATTGCCTGGTAAACGCAACGAGCATCCGGGAGACGGTATGTCTTTCATATGTTTCATTTTACTTTTGTCTCCGGGTATTTCATTTTTGTTGTTTTTACGGACGTAGATGCGACCTTTTACTTACAGGGACAAAATCATTGCACTAGTTATGCTTGTGGTTGGATTTCAAAGCTTAAACCTTTTTAATCAACATTGTTCTTATTCCATACCAAGATTTAATTTTCTGCAAACTTGAAAAAACGCAGTACATGCGGTTCAGAGCCACCTTAAATTCTTATCATAATTACAACCTTTTTTTTAGAAATAATAGGCCTTTTCGAGGAAACGAAAGATGAAGTGTGGAAGTCACAATCCGTAAAACTCTAGCCCCAAACATCAGTTTGCATACTCCTAATCTCCATAATGATCTTTGTTCATTTCCCGTGGATTCAGCCTTGATACTGTAAGGAGAAATTAGATACTAATCACCTGGCTCCTAGGGGTTGATGGACTGAGGGACTTGAATTAACAATGTCCCTAATTTATTTTCAGGTTCTTTTAGGAATGCAACAGTCGACAGATAACGTCGAGTCAGAGTCAACCATTGTCATCTACCAGAAGCTACTAATGTAACGCTTCTATTAACAAGGAAATTGGAATTTAATGTTTTCTGACAAGTCATTAGCTGGGATGCAAACAACCCACTAAGAGTAGAATTGTTTTCCTTCGAGTGTATTTTTAATCTTTAGAAATCGTTCTATATCCTAACTATAGTTTTAGAAAATGGTACCTTATTGTATTTATTAATAGGGAGAAAAGTTTTAGATGGTATTGCACGGGAAAACTGTAAAAAAACGATCATTACTGAAGTTAGGTCCTTGCCCAACTCTCTTAAGCGTTTCCGTTAGCTGGGTGTTATCCCGTTCATATCTTAACATCAGTATCCATATTCTCCATAATATTTTCTATACCTTTCCTTTGGTACTAACAAGGAGAATTCGTTCAACAATCAAAGCTTGTTAGGTTGGAGATCATTTTGTGTATTCTCATTAACTTAATGAATGAGTCAGTGGTGTTACTGCAACAAGAAGGCTGGTCGCTCTTAGGGTTTCAGGGGCTAATGCCGACCACAACTAGTTTTGTCTCTGTGCTTTCAAAACTGGGCCTCTATTCCCTGCTGCCGCACAATCGCTGCAAAGTTTTTCCACAAATTGAGCAGTCTGAATTCAAGGTGTCACTTGATTTGGATGCGAAATATTATTTTAAGCATACTTCACACACATTTTGAGAATGTCCTTTTTATTTATTATTTTAATTCGAAAATAAATAAGTCTTAGGTACTCCATCATGACTTAGAGAGGTGCTTTATTTAATCGCAGTTTTGAACTGCTCCATAAAATATTCCCCGAGCTCCCATTACTTTTCTTCAAATTACCCACGGTCGATTTCAGGCCGGTTTAGAGTGCTTACTTTCTTCTAGATTTTTGATGCGGGGAAAGGAATGTGCACATAAAAGGACACAAGTAGAGCAATTTTCAATGGAATTTCGAACGTAATCCAAGATTGCATTGGTTTTGATTTATTCTGTTTTTGTGATTGGTCCAAAAACACTCGCGCCACTCTCAACCAATCGAATATCACGTTTTCATCACCCACGTTTTCGCGCGCTTTGGACGGTTTGCTTACTTTCCCCTTGAGTTCTCATTGGCTCTTAAGGGTATTTACCTGTCTTCTGATTGGTCTTCGTGATAACTTTGGGTTTTTTTTTTCACGAAACTCAGTCGAAAGGTGCTCTAAAAATGGAATCACGTGCTTTGGTACCTTGAGGTTCACAGTACGAGGATTTTTTTAGCGTTATTTACGATTGCAAGTGGGAGCTGACTGTCGATTATTCGGTCTAAGCCGATTGTAAGAAGCTAGCGGCTAAATGAAGGAATCAACGAGTAAATAAATAAACTAACAACCCCCCTGTCACTTGGTTGTTGTGCTTTCTCTTTCGCTGTGAGTTTTGGAGGTTTATTATAGTTTAGGGTTGCGATAGCATAGAAGTAAGATTTCTTACGGAATTACGCGACAACCATTTTCAGAGAATTTTAGAAAATTTACGCCACCGAGAGAACAGAATGATTTCGGCCCTAGCTTTCGCTTGACTTAAAAGAGTGGCAAAAAGCCATGCTGGTTAATAATATAAAGGTTCTTGACCACGTGTGAGGCTAAGATGGCTGCATCATGGATGACTTAGTTCGTGGTCGATGCCCAGCCCTCTTGGCTGAAAAGCTGGTCGATGAAGGATTTAGTACACGGCTAAAAGATATGACCCTATCAGTATTCTTAGTTTTGAATTCTTTAAGAAATGTTACGCGATTCCATTGCGGTAAAAACTGCCAAAAAGGGAAAAAGTTTTATTATGGTCACGTGAACATAAGGCTTACTTTGCAGTGGGTCTAGGGCGGCGAATCACGTAATATAATAAGTTAAGAATGTTCATTTTTAACACTTAATCGATTGCCCTTAATTCCGTCATTGTCACTGTTTCCACTGTTTCCACTTCCAAAAACCATTTCTGCTCTTCAGTCCCCCAGAACGAACGCTGAGTTGTTCAAATGTTCGCAATCCAAAGCGTGTGAAGTTCATAGTGAAAAAGGTAAGTAATCTGCGAAAGTGATCTACATAATTCTTGTAGCTGAAAAACAAACAAAAGAGAGGCTTCGATAGATCTTGCACTCACACTTCAGAATGAGATCATTACAAAGCAAGCATGCAAGAGGCCAAGGGTGCCACGGCCTATAACGGAATTTAACTACATTCCATTTGAGAAATACAAAACAACTATCATGATACTGAGATTATCAAAGTCACATAGCTTGGAAATGAATCCTCACACATTTCTGACACGTCTCATCACGATTCTCTCTCCGAAAGAACGCGCCATTCTCAAGGGGGGAGGGGTGAGAAGCAATCCATTCATTTTTCATGAAGGCCACATCATTTTTTTTTACCTCTAGTATGATGGGCCCTTCGTTAAGGGTCGTCTGAATGTCCTTGTTCCACAAGTTCCTTAGGATCGGACTGAATTTCACCACCGACTTGAGCCTCTACAAGTGCTGGAACATCCGGGTTATTTTGAGTTACTTGTTTATACGTATGTGCGGCAGCTACGAAGAAAAATAAGAGTTGTCTTGTTAGATGATGAATAAAACCAAAATTAACAGGCGCAGTGACCCACGATATTCTTTCAGTTATAAATCTTGAGTGAGTCGCATCACGGGTTGCCTTTTCAAAAACAAAATCGCTTTAATTTCGTCAATTGCCGCTCACGCTCATTCTCTCTATCCATGGCCATCCATGTCCCACGCTATTCTTTGTGTTACTAATGTAAACATTGTAGTCATTATCATCGTACACCTTTTCGAAAGTTCTCCAACCCAAGCATCATTATTAGTATAGCTTTGTCAATGCCGGGACCTATCTCATTCAGTTTATCGATAAATTCCTTTAACTCCTGCGGTCTTAATTTTTATCTCTTCTCTTCTTTACGAGCATTATTTCAGTGTTGTGGGAGAGTTTTGGGATTGAAGAAAACTGAAAATGGCTTTCGAAAGGGTTATTTTGCACTGAATTGGCGAATAGTTTATTTCTGAATCTGAGTTGAATATTAATTCGTGGCTATTTGGTTATACAGCGAGCTTTTCTAACTGAATATCGTCTTGCTTGTAACGTTTTCTGGTGCTACAAACCTTAGAAGCATAACAAAAACAGAATTTAATCATGTTTCTCTGACTGATTGTTAAGGGATATCGATGTAAACGATAATGTCTGGAAAAAAAGTCGGAAAAAAACTTAGATGTGCCTTCCTCGTGCCTCGTCAATGGTATGGTAATAAATCGCACTCAGCACGCTACAACCTCGTCGATTGAGCACGATTGAGGTCGACAGGTGAATATTGTAATTACTATAAGTGCTTAAGAAAAACATGATAACAAAAGCACGCGAAAAAATTATACAAGGAAAAATTATGGCAGAGAAAATTTCCCTCCTCCTACACAAAACACTATTGTTACGTTTAGAGCGAGATTACAGATTATGCAACATCTATTTCATGAAGCTAACATCTTCTCTCTGAGAGTGAAGCATGGTGGTATCTGCCAGAAACTGAAAGTCTTGTTGTAGCTGTAGGGGATCATAAGACGAAAAAGGTCAACTTTTCTCAGGGGGATCGTTTCATACGAGGAAGCATAATTCACACCAGGTTATGACCTGCTCTCTTCTTACAGCAATCAGTTAAATATATTTATAGAGCGAAGAATGCATCAAAAGGTCATAAAACGGACGTCACCTCGCAAATCGATATCTTTTAACACGCAATGTGGAGGCGTGTCGTTAATATTCTCTTGTGGAAGATAATTTTTGGCTTGTAATGCACATCACGCGAAACATTTTTAACTTTGGGAATTCTCGCACGTCGTTAAACTAGAGATTTTGGAACTATAAGATTGGGGCGTAATCCTCATTCTGAATGTGACATAACTATATTTGTACAGGATATCGCCAATGGCCGGAAAATTAAAGATGAAAATATATACAGACGTTGGCGTGGGATACGAGAGATCACATTAAACTGTCAGGGGTTGAATTTTATAGCAGTTTGTGCAAAGTGCTTTTGTTGTCGCAGAGTGCAAAATAAATCAACAGCAAGAGCATAAAAATTAAAGTCTGAAATCTCCTCACTCCCGTTTTATAATGAAAGCCTGCTGAACTTGATGCGATCATAAGGACTATTTTCTGGGAGAAATTTCATCTTCCAACTAAACAGAAACAACCTGACTAATAAATTCACAATCATTCATCGATTGCCTATTTATAACGTCATATTTTTCACCCTCAGTCATCCCTGAATGAATTTCCTTCTTTAACTTTGTTCCGTGGTAAGATTTTTACCCACGCATCGAGCCAAACGCCAGGGTAACAGGAAATTGTAACAACTAGATATTCCGGTTGGTACTTCCCGCTTTTCATCTAAGAGCAATTAAAATCTTCTCCACCTTTTTCGTTGCCGGTTTTCACGCTTTCTCTCCTTCTTTGGCTTCGTAATCTCATTTGATCGTTTACTGTTTGTTCCGGCTTTTTTATTTTAACAGTATAAAGACTTCCATGGTTCGATTATTGTATTGAGAAGTTAGAAAATATTATGTAAAGCATGAAAATTAATTCTTTATTCAGAGTTACCCTCCAACAACCCAATCCCTTCTATAACAACAACAAAAGGCACAACTGTCTTAAACTTAAAAAATTTCAAGGTTTACAATCAAGATTAATCCAAACTTACAAGATTTTCTTCTTGAAGTTCGCATAGATGATGAACGAGCAGATGAAGATGATCGACTGAATGAGCGCCTTGATATAGAGCTGATTCGAGTGATAGCTGAGCGGAACATGCCTTCCTCTGAGGGCTTTAAACAGGAGAACACCTTGCCCAGCGACGAAGCATAGCCATCGCGGTATTTCCTCATGGTCCACAAGCAGACACAGTGATTTATTAAAGGATCCAGTGTGGTCAGGACGAGAACCACTTGATCAAAATAGATGTTATGCCAGTTGTAAGCGTACAAAATTATAATACGCATCTGGAAAGCAACGATCAATAGTGAATGACGTGATATCTCTGGAACTTATTCACAGTTCCTTCCATGAAAATCTGAAAGTAAGACCCATTGGAAGCAATGAACCCCAAAATTAACTCAGCGGAGTAAAATTCCATGGTATGCACCATATTCCGAAAAAGTAACCCAAAATAAATCATAATCCTCATTTTTTTTTTCTATTTTTTAAGGCGACAAATAACATATATTCTATAGAACCTTCTTTCTTTTATAAACACCAATGTCTTCCCTGGTAGATGAGACATAACAGAAAACGTGAAAAATTAAGAAAAAATAAATGGATAAAAAGAAATAAGAAGTTAACAACAATATTATCACTGATAGTGACAGCGTTTTTCTTATTTTTTACAATGTCATCAGTTTGAAATGACCGATGGAAGGTGCTCGTTTTGGCATGAAGAAACATTGCATGCCACCCGCTAAAAGTGGCAAAGGGAAATCAATACTAATTCCTTAAATCTGTTCTCCTTAGGGAATTAAACAAAAATATACACCAGGGAAACAATGATAAGAAGGTACATAGTCCTTGTCTTTATGATATAGCATACATCCTGGCGTCAAAGAGAGTGTTGATCTGGAGTGACTTCAGAACAACGGGAAACGTAATCTTAAGATGGGAAAGTGATAGAAAGTGACTTCTTTTCACATCGTAGGTCTGACAAGATTGACGAGGAATAGTCAAAGGCTAAACTTTTACAAGGGCATCTCAAAGCCTTGCGCATTTGTAGGTTTTTACAGCGCCAACTACATCGGCGTTACTCCATGTAACTTTAAACCCCAAACATAAGTAATCCAAAGGGATGTATTTAGCTTGAAGAGGGAGAAATAAGCTCATGTAGGGCCTCTGTAATGAAAAGCGCGAGGCTGCATTTTCAGTTGCCCTTGAATACCCACCCTTAGTGTTTTTGAAGGTTTGTGATTTTAAATAAAAAATTTTTAGACAAAACTCGTGTGAAAAGACTTTGGAAAAAAAGCTTTGACTGTGAGCAGTTCTTCCTTCTGTACTGAAAAAATAAATTGGATCTAATGGTGGCAATACTGATTTAATCGTGGAAACTAATAACTGAATGTACTAAAGACACCAGCGCGAGCTGACAAAGCTGGCATTCGACCTTTGTAGGAAAGATCCACCGGGGACCCATGTTAGTTTCAAGGCAATCCCTAAACCTATTTTCCGGATAGGAAGTATTCAGAAGCGTGTTCCGCGACGCAAAGGAAGTCAGTCGTGTTTTATTTCTTTATTTCAGCTGAGCGCTGATAATGAGAAAATTGCCAAGCTTTTTCTGATAGCGAACGGAAAGGCGACAAGATAGAACATCCGAACACCAGACAAAGGGCTGTCGGTTCGACGCCTTTTGGCTATAGCCTTTCCCACGCTCATGGTATACTTCTCTAAAATTTTTCTTTACTCAAAGGGAAGCACTCAGTCACTGAAATAGTTTGGTGAAGGCGCAAATGTGGCAAATTGCTTTTAACCTTTTAACCGTGACTGAGATTAACAACTTTCATTTCACGTCATCGTATTTAAGAGCGACTGATGGCAATCTAATATAACATCCCTCCACTTGATAACATTACCAAAATGAACGCATCGCACTCCTTCGTCACGGAGATTTGACCGACTTGCGTAGAATGCAATTAGACACTAGTTTACTTTACAGAACTACAACTAGTCATTTCATTGTTACTCTTTAACAAAGAGTATGACATTAGGCGGATCTAATTAGGCGGAAACCTAAATCTCTTATGACATTTCCTACGTAGAGTTGCTGTTAAAGTAAAAATAAAAAAAAAAATTTCAAGTAAAGAAAGTTCTGAATGTTTTCCCACACCTTTTCCAAGCTTTACTTAATTTATATCGCCGTTAATTAAAATTCTGTCAAGCGCATTTTTCGACTAGCAACAACAAACTCTCCTGTAAATTCATGGTATTCTTTCGAATGTAATTTCCCTTTCAGTCAATAAGTGTTTATGGGTGGCAGCCGGCAAAACATACAAACTCCCCTTTCACTTTTCAAATACCACACCAAGATGTATGGGGCAGATGGCACTTAAAATGAGCATGAAGAGGCTTGAGATTCTTTCCAAAACATATCGTCACATAATTTAAGCCCAAAAAAATGGTAAAAGTATTCGATAGGCCTCGTTTTACCGGCCTTTTCCTATGGACAACAATTATGCTAAGGAGAATTCGGCGGAAATGACTAATAAAAAAGACGAGATCGCGAAAAATTGGGATATTGCCTCGCTAGAGTTACCAAGCACGTTTTCCCCTTGAAAAGGGGAAAATGAAAAACCAATTATATTTTCCATGCTCTTGCAGATATTAAAGAGTAAGTGATGATCACACTTTACATTTACTCCCGCCGCATTCACCAAACTTAAAAACCATCCTGTTATTCCAGACCACAGACAATTAATTTTAATTAATTATTTAAAAAACAACCTATATGGAAAACAAAATCAAAACTTTTGAGTGACTAAAGGAGAGAAAGCTATTCGGCATAGTTTGAATGGTTGAGTGAGGCATGTATCACCCACTGATCCATTATTCAAAGCAGATTGCGGGAACTAAAGCAAAACTATCAAATATTCATTAGCTTTTACGAACGACTTGCAATTACTCGGTGAGTATAACCGCTATATTTTAAAACCTTATTTCACAAAGATTAAAACCGACCTCGGAAGCAGGTTTTGAAAAGAATCCTTTTTCAACAAAGTACAGAATAAACGCAATGCATTCTTAGAAACTACGAACTGAAAAAGTTGCTTTTTTATTTCAATTCATTCAAAACCTATTTCAATAAAAATTCAGATCAGATGCAAATTCACACCTTTCAAAACATTTTTCAGGCACTAAAAAAATTAAATTATATTAGTGTTTTAGTAATTTTCGATGAATTTTTCGCATTATTAGAAACTTCGTAAATATTTTGCAATGAATAGCGAAATGAGTTGGTACTTTTGTGAATGACTGTCTGTAGGGGATAGCAATTTACAAGACCAAAGTAAGCGGCATCTTAAGGGATTCGACATTAAAATAACATTTGGATAAGGTAAAAAGACTTTGCTATTAAGTTGATTCGGTTCATTACAGGGTAATACTATGGACAAATTGACTCTCTTCATTTGTGGGTTCTTGCTGTCACTGTAGTCTTCATATCAGGTACAACATCGATCCAAAGAAACAAGCGATGAAAAAAAAAACGCAAAGAAAAAAAAGACCTAATCAATTTAATAATTCAACTTTGTCTAACAGATTTCTTCCCTGAGATAACCCCGTCAACGAAATCCTTATTTCGTCTTGATGATAGGAATCTAAGTAATTTGACAAGCCGCACAACAATTCTTCGCTTGTTTTTATTTTATTTTTATTTTTATTTTTTATCTATTTGTATTTTTGCTTTCCTTCTTCTCCGGGCCGTCGTTCTATTTACTTTGTGTTTCACTGTAAGTAATTTAAGTTGAACATGAATTTCTGCGGGAGGCCTGAGATAAAAACAATTCCGGCATTTCTGTATCAAGAGATTGAAGGACGCCGCTATTCGGAAATTTTAATGATGAAGCTTCCACAGCCCATTACTCAGTTACGCTCGAAGCATTTCAAGACGATTACTTCATTCAAGATAGGCGAGTCCGCGCGGAAATCATTATACACTTTGTTGTTTTATCTCAGTACCTTGCGGATTGGCTTCAAGGAAACAATTTCATTCATTCAAGTTCACTCGCTTTTGTTTAACAGGCTTCTCGATGCTTTGTGAACATCGTGTAATGTATTTTATTTCAGCGCATTTCGCAGACATCTGGTCGCGGAAACCTTTGCGATTGCCTCAAAATAAAAAAAATGAGGAAACAATTTTCACTGATCTCAAAATTCTCGATTTAATTACCACTCACCTCAGAGGTCTACGAAAGAATTAATGAAATAAAACACGAGTAAAAACTAAAACAGACTGGCACGCTCTTGGTTCGATGCGCTGTAAGTTGTTTATAAAACTGCGATAAAAAAAAAAAATAAATCGAAAGTTGCGTCTCTTTCGAAAACTACCGCGTACGGCTTGATCTGTAATCTTCGCGACAATTTCAGATGTGTTTTTTAAATGTGCCAACACAATTTTCAGTATTATAGCGCTTTTTGTTTCTTTTCTTGTAAAGATAACCATACTTAAAGAAATACCTCAATTTCTTTAATAGATGCTTGGATGTTCACTCATTTCTCTTCAAACGCTCTAAAATAAGTATAATTCTACATATCATCGCGTAAGCAAGCAGTGAACACAAAGCGATCCAGCGAAATTCAGAGCGAAAATGGCTTATTTTTTCCTGATTCCAGATTTAGATTTCCGGCCACTTGGAGCGAAGCAGCTTGAATTTAGAAGCGAGAAAAAAAGACTAAAACAATTTGCGTTTACACCAAGTTAATGAAGCAATTCGTTGGTGAAACAATCTACCGTGGCTTGATCGCGCGGGAAAAAGTTACAATAACATTGACGAGACGGAATCTGTGATAACATAAGCAAATAAACATCGTTAAGGTCCCCAAAAGACCACAAATTTCAATGATCTGCTTGCCGGAGAGACTCACTGAAATTAAAGTTAAATTCGCCGGCGAGCGGAGATGTGCGCCTAAAAACTGATTATCAAAACATGGGCAGTACTTACCAATATTGTGGTCCAACAAATTGAGTAACACACTGCCATAAGCGTAACCATTTTGGCGAAGCTAACACAGGCGGAGGTACCAGAGCCTTTAACGCGAGTTCCTTTCTCGGTTTTGTTGTCTTGATCATAGACATCCGAAAGTGAATTTCTTTCTAGAACGTGTAGGGTGTATACAACGGTAATGTTAGAAAGAACCATAACTATCACAGACAAGACGTAATGTATGGACATTACATACACAACGATGCCCGTATCCACGTTGTGCGACTCGACGGCGTAACTGCAAACGCCAGTAGACACGTTGAGCTCGACTTTATTGAGCGCTAGCGGAAGAATGGCAAGGATAAAGGAGTACACGACCAGGATGGCCAACAGGACTACGCATCTTTGAAATGTGACGCTCTCCTTGTAATAGAAAGGGAAGACTATCGCACCTAATCGCTCCAAACTCATCATCACTACCAAAGAGATTGTTAGCGTCCCGAAAAACAGAACACCAAACGCGACGAAGTGACAAACGCCATCTTCGCGCGACCACTCGCCATTAAAACGCGACGTTATGAATGGAACATATTGAAAACAGGCGATGCCCAGTCCTGCTAATGACAGCGCGCCAACGAAAAGATGCGGGATTTTCTTCAGCGAGGGCTTGCGAACTTTGACATAGGTATAATGAAGGGCTAGAAAATTTAAGACGAGAGTAAAGGCAAACAAGATCACCACGATGGATCCAACAAGCTGGTCTCTCCATGTTATATTACTGCCGCTCTTTGACATTTTCTTTAGAGAGCACTTATTAAGGAAAACCCTTGTTTATCCGGCTTGATATCACAGCCAGAGACCGGTTCGACAGATCCTATTTTCCCGCTGGTCTTTTACTCATCGAAACTGAAATTTCCCGGCGCCAAGAGTTTCCGTTGTAAATCAAAACTGATCCTCCCCGCCATAACGAACGCGCGCGAAGAGAAGAATGGTAATAACACTTCACGCGACTTCAAGAAGAATTCATTCGTCTTGGCATCTTGTTTGGAATAGCTCACCCGACTAAAGTGTTTGGTGATAGCAGTTTTAAGGTTGTTACCCAGATTCACAGAATTTATTGGTAATGCGCACGCTTCCACTAACATTGACTGACGTGTCTCACTCCCACGCAAAGTCACATTAACATGAGTATTGTTCCATGCGTCAGAATTTCAACAACACTCAATCTTTTAACAACAGAACTCAAGCAATCACAGTAGGTCTGATAATCAATTCAAATAAAAACTGGAGAAATATTGCAGCATTGCCCACCCAGACCGTTTTTTTTTTAATCCGATGTTTTGATCGAGAAGACAACATAAGACTTGATTCCATCAGAGAAAAGTTTCAAGATAAAGTAAATTTAAAAAAAACTAAGAATTAAGATTCAAAAATGTTTTTAGATATTAAAGCTAGAACACTTTGGTCGAAAGTCAAAACAGCCTTACAATGGCACGTCATTAAGTACACCACGATTCCCTTCAGATGTAACCGCAATTCAATTTGGAACACTTTTGCGAAACACAAAAACCATGCATAAAAGGCGAAGAAGAGAAAGGACACCAGAATATTACTTGAACCCCAAAAGGTGTATTGTTTCGTACACGAGCACTACTTGGTCTTGATAAAGCATTATCATGCAAATTTTTTGTTCTCGATTACAAGTTATGTTTGTACTTTCTCAAAGCGACATAAGAGGTGGGATCTTTCCCATCTATGCGACTCTTGCAGCTGCGAAAGAACAGGATTCCTGGGAAATAGCATTTCCCTTTCACTTTTCCCTTGTTTGGTGTCAGAACGGAAAACACTTTGAAATACATACCAGCGTATTTTCAACAACATCACGTATTTATTCACGGTCTTTTTCAAACAACGAAGCGAGAAGAAACTGATGACATTTCAGGGAGCCTTTTTTTTTTTCTCAGTCGAGGTAAGGCAAACCTTCTGCTTCGTAGGTACAGTGTTAATATGGAGAAATAATGGATTTTTAGAGTGTGAGTGGGCGGCGTAAAAAAATTATGAACTACATAATAACGCGAAATTGCTTAACTTTTTCGATCATCGCAGTATGTACCTTTGCACTATAGTTAAAAATTGCTTTTTAAAACATAAACATCACCGACGTAGAGTGAAGATTATAATTTGACAGAGCGGTAAATTTTTCCCAGACTATTTCTTTTGGTAAACAATTGGCACAAAAACACCTCCGCAAACAGGCACAAATTACTTCCAGAAAAACAGCGCCAGGTGGAGTTTTTGGTTTCCAATTATTTTAGTTGTACGTTTTTTAGCTAATTTTTGAGACATTTTTTTAAATCGAGATTACTTTGCAAGGTAAATATCCTGTGGCTAAGATACCCCACTTCAATAGGGAACAAACTTTCTAGCTGTAAATTCAGTTTTAGTCATTAAAGTTTAATGGTGTAGAAATATTCGAGTAAACAGATCGCAATCGGTAGTGCTGATTAAAACTCTGTATCTCTAGACCCAACAGATAACTTTGCTTTGTCCACATCCTCCTCTACTTGCAAATCGATCGCTATTAAACTTCGTTAACTGACTAGAAAAAACACTGGTCAATTCAGAATCAAAAATAATCTGAAAAATCTATAACGCTTGTTAGTTTCTGATGTTGATGGAAACCACTTGCAAACCTAAACGAAATATAAATTACTGACAGAAAATACGTTTTATTAAGAGCAATCTGTTTCACTATTTCCTTCGTCTAGGAAACTAAAAATCCAACCTTTTTGGCCTACGAAAATCGAAACAAAAAAAAAAAGGAAAAAAATACATGAAGACAATACAACCCTGATTATCACATGGAAACAATAATCTTATTTAAATACTGGATTTTCGTATCTCAGCCTTTGGGCAACGAGAATGATAAATATACCGACAGCTGCTATAACACGCCAAAATACATATACAGCATGTAGAAAAAAATATGAAAATGAGAACAACTCCATTATGCACTTAACTGGTATTTTCGCAAAGTTCAGTGTTTTTGATGGGAAACGAAATCTTGCTGAGAAAACGCCATAAGTACGCAGGACCGCTCGCTGACCCATGATAAAAGTGATTCACTGCGTGTTAAAACTTGTAAAGTCTATGGCCTTTTTCCGTAATCATACGGTAGGGCAGGGATTTTAGAAACACGTTTAGGATTTTCTTTTCGGATGTTCGTAAGAGAATATCGCTATGTTAGGCAAATGTCCAACACGGATACAGTTGACAAGGCTTAGCAAGACTCCTATCGCCGATACACTGTTTTTGTGACAACAAATATGAAGCAACTCCTGAGATCGACCGATACATTTCAGTTCAACTTGTATTGACGCCTAAAACGATCAATGCAAGCTAATGATATTAACGAGGATAATTTTAGTGTTTACACACTTTTTTTAAGCAAGATTAATATTCACTTCTCGCATTGCTTCATTAAGAGGAATTCAAAATGTAGTCATCTTCAAAGAGACCGACACTACACAACTTCATTCGATTCTGTTGCCAAAAAAAAAACATTCCGAGCAAGCCTAGCAACAGAGAGAAAGAAGTCATGCTAAATAGTAGCTTTAAAGTGTCAAATTTCACTTTTCCTAATCCATGACTGATTTAACCATCATACATGGTAGGAAAAGAACAAAAGAGAGGAGAAAAAACGTCCAAAAAGCCTTTTGCAAGATCTGCAAAGCTTTCCAACCAAAAACATTTTACATCTATTCAAAACGAAGTTATTTCTAAAAGGATTATGAGCATTAATCCCATTTTTTTTTTAATATGCCTGCAAGAAATTCATTTAATATTTTGAACATTTAATCTTTGAACGTCAAAAAAATTGGAATCAGTTTCAGATCGAACAAATTCCCTTGTCATAGCTTTCAAAGAATTAAAAAGGTCTCATATTCTATGCAGCTTTTCTACTCCAAGTTGAGAACTTAATATTCAAAATGCAACATGCGGATTACATGTAAAATTATTATTTTTGTCTTTCAGAATTTCATCTCAATAAATCTAAGACAGACTCTACACATAAACATGTTTGAACATATCGCGGTATTGGGTTTATCTGGCGTCGCAATTTCTTTTCTTTTTTAATTTTTCTTGAATAATTCGTACCTTCAAGATAACGTTTGCTTTAGCAAAAACTGGGGAAAGAACGTGAATTAAGTTCTAGAGAACCTCAGATGTAAGAAGAAGGAAATTTCCCACCACAACCAAAAGTGTTTTGTGCAATGTGCTAAGTTGTTTGATGCAAAATTAACGATTGAGAGATACAATTGCGAATGCGAATAGGATATAAACTAATGAGAAGACCAACGATGAAAAAACGCAGCGAAAATTGCATGCAAAAAGAAAACCAAAAAACGATATCACAAGTGTTTGTGACCAACTGTTAGTTCCCATTGCGCGTGATTCATACATAGTCAACGACCGCAGATGTCAGCTTCGTTTTCAAGAAAAATCCGGGAAGTAAATCTATTTTTTTTTGTTATTCGTATCACAACCGGCATATCCATTTGGCTTTTACAAGGTAGTGAAAGTGATATGAAAACTGATACATAACTTCTCTTTCATAACGTCTGCCTTATTTGCTGAGCTGTTATATCAAATTATTGCCATTACTTCAATATTTCAGTATTCTGCAATATTCCAAACTATAATCAATTTTTCATTATTTTATTTAAATCAAAATCATATTGAATTCAAAATCGTTTCAAAACTTTAAGGTTCGTGTAGGTTAGAAATGATTTACTGCACAAGACCGTGAAGTGTGACAGTTCGTTCTGGTAAGATCGTGCGGTATTATGTGGTGTTTCTGACCCTTAACGAAGGTGTTTGCATACACAAAACACCTGGAATGAAAAAAGCCTGTAAAACGTCTGGACTCAACCGCTGGCAGCAAGGGAATAGTCAAGTTCACAGAGGAAAGTCAAGAGGGAGAAGCACTAGCGGGGAGCTTGTGTGAGGGCGTTTTGGCATACACCTAGGATAAACGAAAAGGATGCAAACGGAGATACGCCGTTGATATAAGGTTACTATTGTGATGTGAAAGAAGAATGCTCTTAATAGCGGGGTAAGAAATCGAAAAACAAAAGGCAATGAGGATGGGTAAGGAAAGGAAAGGAAATATTACAAGACACGGATTGCAAATGACAAAGTGGAACGATTTAACTCTGACTAAATTTATGCCACCTTTCATTGCGGTTCATTTTCCAGGTGTACCTTCAATGCTGACAATGGATACAAAAATTTCACGAACATCTTTCCGGATGGACAAAAAATAAAGTCCCACGAAATCCGCTCCTAAACAATGCCTTCAGTAAACCCTCTCACTCCCAGGATCTAATTGTTAATTCTGCCCTCTAGCTGCGACACATTACCTTGTAAATTAAATTAGCAACGATAATTTAGTGTTAGATCAAGATAACAGGGACTTTAAGCAGTCAGGACATCAACGCTAAGGAAGACTTCGATTAAAAAATGAATTTCCTTTAATTAGAATTTTAAAAATGGCTGCATGTGTTTACCGTCTCATACAGCGCCACACCTCAACTTCAGCATAACGTATTAAAGAAGCGTTGAGTTTCGAATGGAAATTAAAATAATTCGCCGTCGCGGTTTCGGTTTGCAGACGACGCTAATTGTGGTGATTTCACTTTCTTGTTTTGCGTAAGGCGGCTAAGAAATGTACAAAGTTTTAAAACGTACGTGCTGAGCTATTGTTCTGCCAATTAGATCTTTTGTTTTTCCTCGTTGCCGTCGCCGTCGTGGTTTGCTTAAGGTCCCCAGCAACTTCCATAAGTCTGAGTATTCTCATTACCTGTTTGCTAGATAATGTATGGATGTTATAGGGAGAAGTTACATGCTGATCTGTTCCGAGTTAAAGGGTTAAGGTAAAGATTACAAGGACAAGAAGAAGTTGCACAAAGACTGCTGTGAATAAACAACGGAGAAACTGACTAGTTCGATGAGAATTAGCATTTGAGATACACAAAGTGTACAGCGCACCTTTGCTAACAAAATATTTATTTACCAGCATTTGAATGCGACGCTTAA